CCGCCTTAATTGTCAAAAAATTGCAATTTTAAAATTTGTGTTCGGGTGATGCAATACTTTTGACCGCCACTGTATATAAGAAAACAAATTGTAATTATCAAGATTACATGGGAACTTTACAATAGAAAGGGGAAATTGCCGGAAAAAATCAATTTTACTTCGATATTAATTCATATTTTATTTTTCCCGGCAGTATATCCATTACATTATTCAGTTTATGGGAACTTGGATTTTCTGCCACATGATTTACTGGTATATTTTTTAAAACATGGATTTTTAAGGAAGGCATACAAAGGGTGATTACAGTTTAAATTAGGAAAACATATACTTTTTTTAGTTACTTTCAATTTATCATGGGAAGATTTCCAAGAAAATCAGTTTCCAAGAAATTTTTGACTAAAATTAAGAGCTTAATGCATTTTTAATCTAATAATAGCAATAAAAATATCAATTTTGTTAAAAAATTCCCGGAACCTAATTTTCCTTGCAATCAACCCATATTTTCTAATTAGTGAAATACAAACAAAATATACAACTATAAAATACGAAAAACTCATGCTCGATATCGAAAGTCATAACTATCCCAATGGAAAAGTGGTAACGGAATGGAATTGCCGATAGATGAGATTACTTTAAAATCATTCATTCAATAAGACTTATCAACATTTTTCAATTGCTTAGTAAAGGTATATTTTATTTTACCAAAAAGTTCTAGGTTCGGATTTAAACTGTAAGATCATTCACATTAAAGTACAACCACGACCAGAAATTTAAAAAAATTGGCATGTTTAACCCAATTTGGAAAAATGACTTAAAAATCATGATTGTTCATTTTCAATTGGGAATGTCATTCCAAAATATATAAATCCCATTGTGTTAATATATCGTTATATGCTTGTTTTGTTACTAAATTAGCGAAAGAAAAAATGGATCCGTGGTGCAAGAATATTCGAAATTCTTGTGAAGTCTTTTGTATAACAAACTTCAACCGAAGGTGAGGGTTTATATTATTACCATTACAAGACGTGAAATACTGTTTAACAATTTTTTTATTGAAAAGCAAAGGCTAGAATAATTACAAACGAAGGCGTATCAACTTTTCTTATAAAAAGAGCACTTATGAATGTTGTAGAAAATTATAAGCATCCTCTTCAGAAATGTCACTCAAAGATTTTGAAGAAACTTTTGATGTTTTCTATAAAAATCCTCAAAAATTGTCAAATTTAACTTTTGAAGAATTAGAAAAATTAGTAGATCTAGCAGTTTCTCAAAACCCCAAAAATAATAAACGTCAAACTTTCTTAACTTCTAATAAAAATGGCAATATTGAAAAAACAATTCTCAATAAAGTTCCTTTAGAAAAATTAACGAATTTTATTTCAACTCTAAATTTTAATGTTGATAAAAAAAATTGAAATTAGTTTCCGTCGGCAACTAAAAATATAATTTAATTTAATTGGCAAAATCATCATTGAATATTTCTTTGGCAAAATTGGCGAATATTTAACGTGTAATTTTAAATAGCAAAATCATCAATTGTTATTTCTTTGGTAAAATTGGCGGAGATAGCAAATCTTTTATTTTTCGTATTTTCTACATTATTTTTTATATTTTAATTTATTTATAAGGCCTTTAAGATTTATAATTTTTAAGATTTTAAGATAAAATTTATAATTTTTTATTATAATAAAATCACGTGATAAGTTCGATAAAAACACCATTTTTGGTAAATATGAATATGATTAAGATTTAATTTTTGAATATTACGAGATCTTATATTTTGAATATTTTCGAATATTCAAATTTCTATTTGAATTTCGAACGGAAACTCTAATAACTGGGCATTGATTTATTAGAGTTACAATTTGTTGTATAGATTTTATGTTTACTGTATTTATTTCAATATAATGTATGTAGATTGAAAAATGTACAAGTTATGTTGCCTTCCATTTTAAATTCCAAAATTCAATCAAATATAAATTCCTTTCCTAAACATTTAATTTAACATTAGGTTTGCTAATACAAATGAGTTTTCCTTTGATTATTAATTACGAAATAATTATTCTCATTAAATAAAAAAGTTACTCTAGAGATTTAATATATTTTAGCTAATTATAAACTTATAATCTTATATTTCCATCAAAGCTTTATCCCAGACAGTATCAAGATCTGAGAAATAATTATCACCAATCTCAATGACTAAAATATATCTTGGAGGAAAATTAAGAGTTCTTTCGATTTTGTTAACATTAATCTTTAAACCATTACCATCAGGATCAAGAATTTTCATTAAGCTTTGTTTAATCTTCACTTCAAATCTTTGCAAGATATTATATCCATTTCCGGCAAATGGTTTAAGCAATTCTCTAATTTCTTTGTTTTCTTGAATACTCGATGGCATCATATCAAATTTTGATTTATCAGATAAAGGAAACTTAATTTCAATCTTACTCTCCAAATTAAATCTTAATAAATGAATTAAATATTTTACCATTTTCAAAAAACTTCGAAGTAGTAAGGCAGCGGGATCTAACTCAGTTTCAATCGAAAAGGATGAGAAAAGGATATAATTTGATGATCGTGATTTAATAAATTCTGGTATAGGAATTTGAAAGAAATCACATTCTATAATTAATTCTTCACACGAAATATTTGACGAATTGTTATTATCTTGTAATGAATAATTTGGCCATATTAGCTTTCCTGTGCGATAATATTCTAGAATGTAATGAAATGCTTTACTATTGCGATCAAAGAAATATTCATTTTCCTTCTTTGGAATAAGTAAAGCGTTATTACGCTCTTGAAACATAGTTCCAAGTAAAGTTTCTGGATACCTCGTTAACGTTGTTCGATATGTTTCATACTGTTAAGCATCAAATTAAATTTCGAACTTTACATTTTTAAATTTGTAAAAACAACTAATGTTGCACAGATAAGGAATTCTAACCTTTATTCCTCCAACATTTAATATTATTCTTTCATTGTCGGAAATGTTATAATGGGATGGGTTTTCCATTACAAAAAAAAAAAAAAAAAAAAAAAGAAATTTGATTGTCGATCTTGGCGAATGTGTTTATAACAGCCTTTTGTGTAATAATTTCTAAAATTGGTTAAATTAAGGTATATTTGATTACGCAACGCAATTATATATTAATGATTTGGAGTTTTTTTTTTCAATTCGAAAAATTAATCTTCAATGCATTGTTCCCTAAGTATCATCAATAACAAATGAAATTCATTGGTTATTTATATTGTTTATTATTTAAGTTACATAAAGATACAGTATAAAAGAAAATACATAGGGATGTTAAGTGGTCCTAAGCGGTCCTAAACAAGAAAATTATTAAGAACTATTTTTACAAATTTATTATTAAACTAGGTAACGGGAACCGTTGTAATGTCTAAATAAATGTATCACAGAAAAACAACTCAAATTTTTATTATTTAACTAGTGAAGCGCTCCAGTGATCAGCATGTGACATAAATAAGTATTGTATGGTCGTGATGTAAAATTAAATTGATAAAAGGAATGAAACAATAAAAAGTATTTAGTATTTGTTGGATTGTGATTATATTTATTTATTAGATTAGTAGATTGATATATTTTTATTCAAAAAAAATAAATGAACAATAAAACTTTTGTAAAAATTATTTTTAAAGTTGTGTTACCGATCCATTTAAATGAATAAATAATAATTTATAACAGTAAACAAGTTGAGGCCTTTCATTCTAGACATTAATATTCTTCGATCATTGATTTATCAGTGATAAAAGCAGAAGGATGAAGGGTAGCAATGTGTACTTTTGTTTAATCTGAGTATCGACTTAATGCAACATAGGCTTGACCAGCTGCTGATCAAGACTTAGGGAAAATGTTAAACCCAGTGTTTTATGCACTATAAGGGCAAACACGTTTTGCAGGGGAAATTGATATCTACTTAATGATTTGCTATCAATTATAAATGTGGCTGATTCCTTTTTGATTCCAATATCAACAATACCTCCTATTATGCTAAATGCAACTCTTACTTCCATGGATAATAGATTGATATCAATTACACTAATGGTACCATTACACATATATTGATCTATTAGATCATTATTTAGATACTGATACAGATACCTTATTATAAACGTAGAGAAAATATGAAGATTAGTTTTTCGTTTAAATAGTTTTTGTGTATCATTTGGATTGTATTGTTGACTATTCATAAAGTCAATTGCACTGCAGATAAGAAATTTATTTGTATTGACAGAAAGTATATTGCAGAAAGTAAGGTTGACTTGATTTGCAGTTTATTTGTATCTCATAATATTTGTAGTATTGAGAATATTATTGAGGAATTTGTAACAATTATATAACATATTTTTTTAATATAAAATTTTTCATGTTCATGTAGAAATTTAGTCTAATCTAATTTTCTATAGCATATTATAGTATTCCATATTTTGTTGCTGTTTTTGTAAATATTTTAAGAATAATGAGTAAAAAAGCTTTTATTCTGAAGCTTAATAAATAGGAGAATCTGTTAAAGGTAATAGTTAAACCAAATTACTAACAATTATTACATTAATACTTCTGAATGTAATTGAGCTTTGTTAGATAATTAAAAATATATTAGAGATAAAGCTAAAAAAAGAGTTGCAGATACCATTGAGATTTTGTCAAAAATTAAAGTATTGATTTGCTTTAATGAGATAAAAAATATGTGATCATAATAGATGTAAAGAATACTTATTATACTCAATATCATTTTTAGTATTATACAATACTTATTTGATAAACTATTTAATAAATACTTCTTTTCATAATATTTTTATATATAGGAGAGATACTTTAGTCTATAAAAATATAATAATTTAGTGATGATTGATAAATAATCGGTAAATTATAAATCAAATATCAATCATTTTATGATACTTCGTTATCTATATATTTAAAAATATTGACAGTCACAAGGTCTCATATTTAAATTACTTTATATAAATTAATCACATAATTATGAATATTATACAAATCCAAAAAAGGCAATTTTATTTATCAGTAAAATTTGAGTTTAAGTTAGCATAGAGAAAGTTTGTATTATTGGTTAATAATCAATATATATAATAGTATTATGATTAGCTAATATTATGTAAGTACAAATTATTTTTAGTTATTTTCCATATCTCAATATAGTTCAAAAAATTATGACTCATATTCAATATAAAATTGTAATAATCAAATATCACGTTTTTAAAAATTTACTTTATTAGTATATGAAAAAGCTCAAAAAATAAACTTACAAAGTATATACATATTTAAGAATTTGATAATAATTGTGTTATAATTATTATATAAATATTGTTGAACTTTATCAAAAACATAAGTCAGAAATTCCTTTTTTTTTAGAAGCTGACAAAAATATAATACATTGTAAATATAAAATTATAATTAGTTAGCTGCAAAATAATAAAATCAGAGTTGTATTTGATCATCTAAACTTTTTCATAGTAATTTACATATTAATTAGAAATACAGTTTTAATTTCATTAGTAGAGCAAATTTAGGAGTCCTGGGGTCAAAAAAAAAGGTATTCAGAAAGCTCCCAATCATAAGCTCGAAGCTCTTTTAGTAATATGAATCTATAATATAGAATTCAGATTTAAAAACTGCACTGGCGCTCAATTTTATTATCATATTCCTTGCTATAAATTTAAGCTTCGGAAGCTAAAATCAACTAAATTGTTATAACATTTCTAGCCTGATATTTAACCCAATTCGAATATCAAAAAATATATACCATTCTATTTGCCTTTAAGACGAGGCGAGATTGGCAAGAACCAAAGGTTTGAAGCCAAGCTCATGGAGACTTTGCAAACCTTCTATGTATACTAATATTTATGCTATACTGCTTGCCTTTGGGAGTAGACTCGAATATTG